TTCTAAGAAGGGGAAGTAAAACAAAATACGAAAAGAAAAACCTAAAGTTAGGTCCTCGACCTGGGTAATGGTATTTCTCGTGGTTGAGAACGAAAATCGACAACTGAAAGATTTGCCACAGGCCGATTTCGGGCGTGTACATGAAAAAAATTTGTTTTGTCGGTAAGGAAAAAGTCAACAACTGAGAATTTTGTAAAAAGAAAGCTACGCCCATTGTCTGTTTCTGTAATGGTTCAACGCATATATTCATCTTGAGCGTTATCGCCGATGCGCTTTACGCCTCTTTTTTTTTTCGTGGATTGTGAAACCTTTATAAGTTTTGTGCTCGGTGAAGAAGATTCCTCATGGGGACTCAGAATATTTCTTTATCCCACGCTCGTGACAAGACGAAAAAACATCTTTCTTAATTCTTCATCGAGCTCAAAACTTACCATCTCTACTATTTCTATCAAAAACATTACGCTGTCGACATTGCTGATCCTAGCAGTATGCAGGACGCGTGTTATAAGAACTTCATAATAGATCTCGCTCATCGAAGAGTCTTGGTGGCTCAGCGGTAGAGCATCGGAGCGCAAATCCGAAGGTCTGAGGTTCGGTTCCTCATGGGGACTCAGAATTTTTCTTCATCCCACGCTCTTAATTCCTCATCGAGCTCAAAAGTTACCATCTCTACTATTTCTATCAAAGGTAAATGTTGTTTGTTTATAACATGACTGATAAATATTTTATCAACACATGCTCTGGACGATAGTGTTTCCTAATAGCCAATCAAATCGTGCATCTGACAAAAATTCGCGTTGTAAAAAGTCAAGTTGCTATGCTCGTAGTTTCGTCGGCTACACTCAAATTTGTCTACGTTTTCCTTATTTAGACAAATATTCTTCCATTAATTACTATTTAGATAAAAAAAAAAAACAAACAAACTGAATCTTTCTATCAGTCTAAAGGTGATTCCTCAGTATTGCACTGGGCATCCTGTACTGCGAATACAAATCACGTAATCAGGCAAGTAAGCGCACACATTCCGAGAACACGGTATTGCTTTTCAATAACTGGACCATGCAAACAGGCACAATGCTCTTTAGCTCTTGAACGAGCGGGGTGACCTCTATTTTTCATTGCATAATTTTTTTGTACAAATCTTCCCCTTCAACTTGGAGAAATTAAGAAAATTGTTGAAGGCAAAAAAAAAAAGGAAGACATAGCTAAAAACGTGCACAAAGCCCGTTACTTTATGATGAAAATCATTACCTTGAAAACAACGACGCGAGGAACGTTTTGAGTGATGACAATTACTAATATATATAAATAATTTCCACAAATTACATATCAAATCTTCCACTCGCTCGAGACTTTGTACCTTTTAAGTTTTTTCTTTTAATTTTTACTTCGAAATCCCTTGATTCCAGCTACCGAAAAATGTACCTTGAAATGACGCGCGGGAAAAATTGCTAGTAGAGGCATGAATGAGGTAAGTGTTGCCCGTCATTTCTCTCAAACAAGCACGGTGACCTGCCTTTCTTATTGCATTTTTCAAAACAGCCATTGGTAGGAAACATTTAAAGGCAGACTAAAAAAATTGTTAGATGTCTTTTTTTTTTTTTTTTGATGTTTTGTCGATGGACGTTTCCAAGCAAACTAAAGGTACTAAAAACTAACGTGATTTGTTACATGGCCAAACAAGAATAGCCATTCACTCAACATTATTTACAGCGAGTTCAGCCACTACCATCTCTAAAAAATATATAAGGCATGGATTAAAAGAGACTAACCTTTACAAGTCAGACCATCCCCAATGTATTTAGGATTACAGGCGCAACTGTAGGAGCCCTGGGTATTACTGCAAGAGGCGTTCTTATCGCACATGTTCATTTGTGAGCACTCGTCAATGTCTGATGGGGATCAAGTGCACCACGTCACAACCCAGAGTTAGATGTTATGATGAAAAATGTTTTGGCGAATCAAGATATAATGAATACCTTTCCAAAATACTGCAAATCTAGTCTCAAAGGATGTGGGACAAAACAAAACAAAACAATCCACAATTTTTAATAAGGGATGAATTTTCGGATAAATGTTTGATTACTTCCAGTCTTATAATTTGAGCTAAAAAGACGTTTCAGATTACCTCCCACTTTGAGTAGCTGGGATTGTACGTATAGAAAGAGCAGCAATGGAGGTTGCCTCTCTTCCGTCATAAAGGGCTTTTCTGGACATTGAAGGGAAGTTATCAAAATCACTTGAGCAAGTTTGTCCATCTCCAGTGTATCCAGTGTGGCATGTACATACATGTGATCCAATTGTGTTGGTACAGTTAGCATTCACATGACAAGAAAGGTTTTCTTGCCCATTCGTCAATATCTGAGAAATCACAGGCTTTCAATCACGATTCTTGGACCATGATACATGTATAAACCTCCTTATTTTGAACATTGAGAGCATTTCATCCTCTTGCTTTCAATTGGGATTAAAGATTTTCATTTTGTACCATTGGTCAAAAATATTAAGGCAAGGGTAACTACTTTATCAAAATAAACAAAAAAAACAAAGAAGGAACGTACAAATTAAACAAACAATTAAAAATACAAACACAAACAAACCAGTAAGGTCATAACGAGGCAATTACAATCTAAAGGCCTTCACCTGTGCAGTTCCGTCCATCTCCGTTAAATCCAAATACACAGGTGCACACAAAGGATCCATTTGTGTTTTGACAAGTAGCGTTTAGGTGACAATCGTGAGTATTTTTTTGGCATTCATCAATATCTAAAAAAAATGGGGAAGAAAAGAAAAATTATACAACGTTAGTGGTTACACGAGTGAGATATACGACTACGACTTCTTTTCGCGGATTGTGAAACCTATTATATCATTATTTTCAAAAAGTCGCCTTATATTCTCAGTAAAGGCCTATTGTGTTCGTATAGCTAATCACATCACCGCTTTTAGGCTTGGCTAAATCTATATATTATTCTCTTACTCGATACCTCACTAGTTTTCTGCTCTCACTCATGAGGTAGCCAGTTGAACACTCGAAGAGAAATTCCAAGTCAGCGGGAACCCGGGTATTATTCACTATATATTAAATGAGGACAAAATGACCGAATTTCTTAGTAATAAATTGTCGAATTATCTTGCAACGCGGCTGAATGGTGCAGCTCTGTAGTCGAACGTGTCATGCAGGACTGTTCTACATATTGTAGCGAAGAGATTAAATTCACCTGTGCAGTTTTGTCCATTTCCAGTATATCCAGCGTGACATTGACATACATGTGATCCAAGGGTGTTCGTGCATGTAGCATTCACGTGACAAGAGTGACTTCCTTTACACTCGTCAATATCTGTAAAATCATAAGCATTAAAAAAATTAATTGAGAAAAATTTGCCGCGCATAAGCTTGGGAACCTTAGTCTTTCTGTCTTGTGGTTCTAGAGACAGGCCCTTCATGTTACCACTCACCAGACTTTTTCTCGGTTCCCCCAATTTCAACTACGTTATTCTGTCCTGTAAGCCCTTCCATCAAGTCTCCCTTTGCCATTTGAGATTTTTGAATGTTTATTGGATACAAATGTGTCATTATCACCATTTTCTTTAGGCCTACATTCATCTCTTTTTTATACAAGGATTGATTGTGTTGGTAAAATATGATAGTGCTTTTCCTTCTGTTGGGAATGGTTACAAAAGAAACGCATCAAATACCTGTGCAGTCCCGTCCAAATTATTCCATTTCTGAAGTTTAAGGCTACGTTTCTCAAAATGCGGCATTTTTGTCTTTGAGAAGAGATAACTCAAGAGGGATTTGAGCTATTGACCTGAAATTTTCAGGTTAGCTGGGTCTCACTGAGTTAGTTGTGATGAATGAAGGAATTTGTCATAAGTGTTTAGAAAAAAGGTTATTTTAAGAAATGCTTCCTAATTGAAATGCTTTCTAATGGGTGTTGAGGCTTCACATTTTGAAATTTTGCAAAGTCCTTCATTCATCCCAGTAAGCAATCTGTTTACTTGAGAAAAATAGTAAAAATACATGTTTCATGTGAAATTATATGTAAAAATCTTTTTTCTCAAGTAGGTCCAGGTCAGCCACAGCATGCGCTATTTAAGGGGCTTGGTATCAGGTTACAAAAAAAAAAAAAATACCGCATTCAAATACACATTTTCATAATCTTCAGGCCGATAGCTTTCTAATGATGTATAGTGTGCTATGATTCTGATGAAAACCATAGCTGTCACAAGTGATGCAAAATGTCACTTTTTCAGGTGGAACCCCGCCTTAAGTTATCTCAGCAATAGGACATCAAAATCAAAATAAAAGATAATACGTAGAGGAACTCTGAAAACACATGAAGATTTTAAAAATCTGAAATTGAAAGTAAAAATTATTCTGCTGTACTGATTGCGCTGTTGTTGAAGGTTGAAAAGTTTGTGGCTGTACAAAGAGATATTTCCTTCTATCTATACTATTTAAAAAAAGTGAGGAACTAATAATAAATCACATATTCGATGGTTTATCACATAATACGAGAGGAAACTTGCTCATTGCTCTTAATTATCCTTGTTCCTTTCGCGCTCGGAAAAATACCAGGCAACTCGTAAAATATCTGCGCGTATTATATTTTAAATCTTGGTAAAATGTGAATGCATGCATATAATGAAACCCGTAACTGAATAGAAATACGAGGTCTGGGCGTGAAAATCATTAAGTTGCTTCTTGATCATAACCTCAGTTACGAAGACAATACTTATTTTGAAAAGCTACTTTGCTCGACATGAAGTATCGCTTTTCTAATCTACCTTGGCAAGACTGTCCATTTATAATGTATCCTTTCTTACAGATGCAATTATATGAACCATTTGTGTTGGTACAGTTAACATTAGCATCACAAACATGACTATTATCGTTGCATTCATCAATATCTGTGAACATAATAGATTTGCAAAGGGTAACTGAATAGAATCTTAGCCAGTTTGTCGGATAAGAAGGCAATTATTTTTATGAAAGGTTATTCTGCTTTTTCTAAGTCTAATTTAATTTTACCTTGGCATGACTCTCCTTTTCCAGTGTATCCTTCCTTACAGGTACAGCTATGGGAGCCATTAGTGTTGGTACAATTCGCATTCACGTCACAATCATGGCTTCCATTGCTGCATTCATCGATATCTAGAAGCATAAGTGATGTATAAGAGGTAACGCCATAGCAATATGACAGTGGTGCGTGAAAACAGGCCTCTAAAGTGTGTGCTAATTCCCATGGGCGATAGTTTATGTGCAAAGCTGCTTGTTTTAATTAGTGTAGGCAACTCTTATTCACCTTGACATGACTGTCCGTCTCCAGTGTATCCTTCCTTGCAAGTACAAATGTGAGAACCATCTGTGTTGTTACAATTCGAATTGACATGGCAAAGATGGTTGCCATCGCTACACTCATTGATATCTGAGAACAAAAAGGAATTGCCGAAACGTTACTTGACAGAGACAAACATCAAATTTCTGAGTTTTTAAAGAAAGAGTTTTGTTTTATTTGTGGGAAACTTCGTTCTGGTATTTGCAAAGTCTTATGTAATGATTATACCTTGGCATGAGTGTCCGTCCCCAGTGTATCCTTCCTTACAGGTGCAGATGTGGGAGCCGTCAGTGTTGGTACAATTCGCAGTCACGTCACAAGCATGGCTTCTATTGAGGCACTCATCAATATCTAGTATTACAAATAATATAGATATGTAATACTTCATAGAAAATCTGTCTATGTGGTATTTACGCACGAACTCGTAGTATTGGAAATCGAGGCAGTGAGCGCAAGAAACGAGTAAGATTTTTTTATATACAGCAACGATTGTTTATGTACCGTAAGGACAGTCTTTACGTGATGTATGAGGTTTATTATAAAGTTTACATGTGCGTAAGGAGAGTAAATTCCTCCTTTATAACATTTAACTGTCAAACAGACAATGGTTTATAAATCGATCATGAAAGATTTAAACCATTCAAACGTCCTTTCTCGATAGAAATAATGCAACATACTATCAGCTGGCAAAAAATATCTAAATACCTCTCGATACTTGAAGCCAGGCATGTTAAGCCTGAGTGTTCATAATCGTCTCTGCCTTTAAGTTGAAAACAGTGAATAAACTCCGCAATATACACGTTTAGTTCCTCAGCCGATATTATGTGTACTTCAATAATTGAAATGATAGACATTTTCAATATGTGCTTGGGCGCTTATTGAAAGTTTCGACAAAAACTTTGAGGGAGAGGGGGAGGGGGCACTTATTTGTAGGGTGGGCGCTTTGTCGATTAGTCGAGAGGGGCGCTTCTTCAGTTATCTCAGCAATAGGACAAAAATCAAAAGAATAGATAATACATAAAGGAACTCTGCAAGCATATGAACATAGAAAAATCTGGAATGGAAAACAAAATTGTTTTGCTGTACTGATTGCGCTGTTGTTGAAAAGTTATAAAAAAGTGTGGTAGTAAAAACAGATTTTCCTTGTATCTATACTATTTAAAGAGTGAGGGAGGAGAGGGGTGGAGGGGGGTAGGGGTAGTTATCCGAGCGTGGCCGCATATTCGAGAAAAATATTCCAGGTAATAGTGAAATGATGAACCCTCATTCGATGTTTTATAATATAAAAGGAGAAGAGACATTGTTCACCGTTCTCATTTATCTTCGATCCTCCTGGGCTGGGAAAAATACTAAGCAACTCGTAAAATATTCGCGCGTATTATATTTTAAACCAACTAAAAATGTGTATGCATACATATGATATGATATGATATACATATGGTGAAGCCCGTAACTTAATAGAAATACCAGGTCGGGGCGTGAAAATCTTTAAGCTGCCTCTTGATCATGAGCCCAGTTACGAAGACATTATTCATCATGGAAAGCTGCTTTGCTCAACATGAAGTATAGCAGTTCTAATCTACATTGGCAAGACTGTCTATCTCCAATGTATCCTTCCTTACAGGTGTAATTATGAGAACCATTAGTGTTGGTACAGTTTGCATTCGCATAAAAAACTTAACTATCATCGTTGTATTCATCAATACCTATGATTACAATAGATTTGCAAAGGGCAACTGAATAGAAAAAAAATATGTTGGCCAGTTTGTTGGATAACAAGGCAATTACTTGTGATGAACGGTTATTCTGCTTTTTTTCTATGTCTAATTTAATTTTACCTTGGCATGACTCTCCTTTTCCAGTGTATCCTTCCTTACAGGTGCAGCTATGGGAGCCATTAGTGTTGGTACAATTCGCATTCACGTCACAATCATGGCTTCCATTGCTGCATTCATCGATATCTAGAAGCATAAGTGATGTATAAAAGGTAACGCAATAACAATATGACAGTGGTGCGTGAAAACAGGCCTCTAAAATGAGGGCTAACTTCCATGGGCGATAGTTTATGTGCAAAGTTGCTTGTTTTAATTAGTGTAGGCAACTCTTATTCACCTTGACATGACTGTCCGTCTCCAGTGTATCCTTCCTTGCAAGTACAAATGTGAGAACCATCTGTGTTGTTACAGTTGGAATTAACATGGCAAACATGGTTGCCATCGCTACACTCATTGACATCTGTGAACAAAAATGAATTGCCAAAACGTTACTTGACAGAGACAAACATCAAATTTCTGAGTTTTCAAAGAAAGAGTTTTGTTTTTATTTGTGGGAAACTTCATTCTGCTATTTGCAAAGTCTTATGTGATGATTATACCTTGGCATGAGTGTCCGTCCCCAGTGTATCCTTCCTTACAGGTGCAGATGTGGGAGCCGTCAGTGTTGGTACAATTCGCAGTCACGTCACAAGCATGGCTTCTATTGAGGCACTCATCGATATCTGGTAGTACATATGATATAGATAGAATAATTCGTGCAAAGTCTGTCTTTATGGTATTTACGCACGAGATCGTAGTATCGAAAGTCGAGGGAGTGAACGCAGCAATTTCACTATATGTGATGTATTAGGTTTATTATATAGTATACATTACAAAAGGAGAGTAAATTCGTCCTTTATAGCATTTAATTGTCAAACAGACAATGGTTTATAAATCGATCATGAAAGATAATAGCCATATAAATTTCCCTTCTCGATAGAAATAATGCAACATACTGAAAGCAAGCAAAAAATATCAAAATACCTCTCAGAACTTGAAACAAGGCATATTAAGCTTGAAGGTTCATAATCTTCTCTGTCTTTAAGTCGAAAAGAGCGAATAAACTCCGCAAGATACATGTCTAGCTCCTCAAGCGATATTGTGTATACTTTAATAATTGAAATATTAGACATTTTCAATGAGCGCTTAGGCACTTACTGAAAACTTCGGCTAAAACTGAGGGGGGGGCACTTATTTGTAGGGGGGTGCCTCATCGATTAGTCGAGAGAGGCGCTTCTTAAATTACCTCAGGAGTAGGACATAAGATCAAAATAATAGATAATACATAAAGGAACTCTGCAAACTCATGAACATAGAAAAATTTCGTATGGAAAAAAAATTATTCTGCTGTACTGATTGCGCTGTTGTTGAAGGTTGAAAAGCTATATAAAAAAATGTGGCAGTAGAAACAGATTGTCCTTGTATCTATACTATTTAAAAAACTGGGGGAGGAGAAGGGTTGGGGGGGGGGGTTATCCAAGCGTCGCCGCATATTCGAGAAAAATGTTCCAGGTAATGGTGGTATGATATATCTCATGCTCATTGCCTTCTTTTATCCTCTTTCCTTCTGGGCTCGGAAACACTTTTAGCCACTCGTAAAATATCCGCACGTATTATATTTTAAACCAGCAAAAATTATGTATCTATGCATATTATGATATCCGTAACTTAATAGAAACACGAGGTCGGGGTGTGAAAACCATTGCATTTCCTCTTGATCGTTAGCCCAGTTACGAAGACAATTCGACATAAGGTATCGCTGTTCTAATCCACATTGGCAAGACTGAACATCTCTAATGCATCTTTCCTAACAGATGCAATTATGTGAACCATTAGTGTTGGTAAAAATTTAGAAGCAACATCATGACACGCTCCCAGTTGGCTTGTTAGCTCAGTTGGTAGAGCGCTGCATCGGTATGGTAGAGGTCATGGGTTCAAATCCCGTACAGGCCTGAATTTTTTTCAGGCCTTATTTCCACTACTGCCTAAGTAGTGCATATTACTGCGAGGATCACTTTCATCCACGTCTTTATCCGCAGTTCAAATATATGACTTTCATATATTCTTAACCGTTTATTCATCACTTCACGGGTTTATTTAGAACCAACATCATAACAGGCTCCCAGTTGGCATGATAGCTTAGTTGGTAGAGCGCTGCACCGGTATCGCAGAGGTCATGTGTTCAAATCCCGTACAGGCCTGATTTTTTTTCAGGCCTTATTTCCACTACTGCCTAAGTAATGCACATTACTGCGAGGATCACTTTCATTTACGTCTTTATCTGCAGTTCAAATATATGACTTTCATATATTCTTAACAGTGTTGGTACAATTAGTATTAGCATAACAAACATCATCGTTGCATTCATTATGTTTCATATTATTATCATCATGTGGGCTAATTTTCATGGGCAATAGCTTAGGAACAAAGCTGTTTGTTTTTAGCAGTGTGGGCTACTCGTATTCACCTTGACATGACTGTCCATCTCCAGCGTATCCTTCTTTGCAGGTACAAATATGAGAACCATTTGTGTTGTTACAATTCGAATTAACATCGCAAACATGGTTGCCATCGCTACACTCATTGACATCTGTGAACAAAAACGAATTGCCAAAACATTACTAGACAGGGAGAAAAACATCAGATTTCTAAGTTTTAATGGAAAGAGTTTTTTTATTTGTGGGAAACTTTATTCCGCTATTTGTTAGGTCAAATGCAATGATTATACCTTGGCATGAATGCCCGTCTCCAGTGTATCCTTCCTTGCAGGCGCAGATATAAGAGTCGTCAGTGTTAGTACAGTTTGCATTTATGTCACATACATAGATTCCAGTGCTGCACTCGTCGATGCCTGAGGACACAAGTAAATGTAGAAAAAGGTAGCTTAATGGAGGAACAACACAAGAGATGAATTTTTTTTATGAAAACATTCATTTTAACTTTAACCCTGGGAGAAAATATGACTTCGTTTTGGCCTGATTGTTGTCCGAAGAATTTATAATTCAGTGCAATCTAGAGTTAAAGAAAACAAAGTATCAGAAAAGTAAATTAATCGACTTAACTTGCCATTTGTCATCGTGACACCCTACGATTGAAAGACGCCATTAAAGTGAAATTAGAACTGCTATTTCTGCCTTCTACATCAAAATAGCATGGACTCAAGAACCGAAATTCATGTGCAAAACTTACAAGAACTCAGCTCGTAGATTTAGTTCTTAATCTTTGACCACCATACACAGCGCGTACTCTTATATGTAACGTCTTCAAAATGTCACGCATGTAGAACACTTTTGTCATACTTTTGCTTCATTTCACTTCACTGAACAAACTTATTTGCCTACTTGTATAAACTCCTGCTGTTGTCAAATAGGACGCGTATGAGAATGAGGCAAGTTTTTAGCATCTCATTTGATGCAGTGCTGTTTATTATTTAAGAAAAAGTTTTAAAAAAGTTTTTCTAAAAAGTTAATCCGGATCGCGAATGATCCCAAAATTGAACTGTACATGACTTCTTTAAAAATGCCTGGAATGACGTAGATTTTTTCCCAGGCTCCATGAAAGGACTAATTTATTACTAATCTAAAGCTAACTGATGAAACTAGGTATTAAGAAAACAACTGGAACAATGGTTATCTGCTACTTATTGGCCATTTTGTAACTTTTGGTTGTATTCGGGAGCCTACTTCACTTTTGTAGGAACGCACGCTTGGGTAACCACTGGGTAATTCAAACAGGCAGATAACACTGTAAAACTGAAATTTTACCGCTGGAATGCTCTTAAGTAGCCTCGCAGCTACTTATGTGCTCGTGCATGTTCTGTCAACGGATCGCTTGCCTCTTTGATTTCCAAAGCACATTTAAAACTTATCGCTCTTACCCTAACATTTATGAGAGGACAAAAACGCCAGCTTTATGACTTTTTTGTAGAATTGGTATTTTTAAATTTACGAAGCTTTTGATATCGAATTTGAAAAATAAATCTGGCGGGGTATGGACAACGCGAACGAAAGTGCTCCTACATGTTTCCTTCTTTAATGCTTACCATTTACATGATCAAACTGAATACTTTATCGTCTTGTCCATATATCTATTGATTAATTTTGTCCGCTAGCTTTTAGCTAGCTTTTAGCTTTAGCTAGCTTTTAACGCTTTATGTGAAAATAAGATGATTACTTTCTATTACTGAGGACATCGACAATGACACATCGATGTGCTGAAATTTCGACCAACTTCTCTCTTTTGTTCAAATATGTTTGTTTTTTATTGTTGACTTCTGAATAAATAGCAAAACTTGAGTGACATCTGATACTTACTTTTCATGTTATCATCACTAAGGTATTCTGAAACGTATTTTCCAATGAACACTGCTGCGATGATTGCAGAAATTGCCACTGCAATAGCAACAAGAATGACCATAACTCTTCGGCGGGATCTAGAAGAACGATTGGCAGCTGTCAGTAGATCTCTGCTTCCCGTAATGGAGAGTTGTTCTCCAAGATTTGCAGGTTTTGGATGGATATGATCCAAAGAGATAGTCTCATTTTCTGACGACGCCATCTCAGATGAGATCTCTAGGCGTGAATGCAGGATTTACTTCACTCTCAAGCAGATGATTCCCTTCACTCGAAGTTTTAGCTTATAATCATGAAAGGTTAACACAGCATCTTTCTTAATTGTAAAAGTCTGTTCGTCGGCGTGGCTTTCAGTTTCGAGTTTCGGTTTCGTAACTGTTAATGATGCAGTCATGCGTGATATTTTATGCATAAACGTGACCTTGAGTCTCGATTGTTTGAGCCACATGTAGCTTTCAGGCACTTTCCAGTACGTTAGGAACTCGGTTTCTTTTCCTTGACCAAAGAAGATAATTGATGAGCAGGTTTTCTTGCCTTTACCTTTTTTTTCTCGCTTTCTTTCATTTTCGTCTACCCTCTTTTTTTCTTCCTTTTTTTCCTTTTTTCCCTTTCTTTCTTTTCTTTTCTTCTCAAATCTTCAAAACCTCGAAACGTTGACAAAACTCTGCACTCGTCTGATGTCGCTGTTACCGCGGATATATCTTAAATTCCTAATTTTTTGTATAGTAGGGCCATAGATAATTAACTCCAGCCCCGACTCCCTCCCCAAAACGTTAGAGACAACAATGAAACGAGAACAAAAATT